AGGCTGAGGCAGGAGAATCGCCTGAACCTGGGAGACAGAGGTTGCAGTGAGCTGAGATCGCACCATTGCCCTCTAGCCTGGGCAAAAACAGAGAAACTCCGTCTCAAAAAAAAAATAACAATAAATAAATGTGATCATTACATTCGCTGTTTAAAACCTTCTGTGATGCCCCAGTGCTCCCAGGACGACGTCTAGAAGCCCCTGTGTAACATGCTCCTGCCAAGCTTTCCAGCTCATCTTGCCCCACTGTTTCCTTCATCCAGCCACACTGCTTTTGGCCACCTTTGTATCTGTTGCTCCCTCTGCTGGACTGCTGGAAAACCCTTTCCACTGTCTTTTTTTTGTTTTGTTTTTTTAACAGGATCTCGCTCTGTCACCCAGGCTGGGGTACAGTGGCACGATCATAGCTTATTGCAGCCTCCACCACTAAAGTGATCCTCCTGCCTCAACCTCCCAAGGAGCTGGGATCACAGGCATATGCCATCACGTCTGGCTAATTTTTGTATTTTTGTATTTTTTGTAGAGTCATGTTGCCTAGGCTGCTCTGGAACTCCTGGGCTGAAACAGTCCTCCCACCTGGGCCTCCCAAAGTGTTGGGATTACAGGCATGAGCCACCGCACCCGGCCTCCACTGGCTGTTTAATAGTCTGATTCCTACTCATCCTTCAAGATCCAGCTTAGCTATTGCTTCCCCTAGGAAACCTTCCCTGACCTGAGTCAGGTATCTCCTCTGGGGTCCCACAGCCCCTACTCTTCCCTCATCCCAGCCCTGAACCCTCTGCCTGTGTTTCCCCTTTCCTAGCCCAGACTAATCTATTAGGTTGGTGCAAAAGCAACTGCGGTTTCTGCTGTTGCTTTTAATGGCAAAAGCCGCAATTACTTTTGCATTAACCTAATAATCAGTCACTGTCTGGTGATGGGTCTGTCACCCCATACACACACACACACACACACACACACACAGGACTGTGAGTCCCATGGAGTCAGACAGTGTGGGGAAAACAGACACAGTAACAGGCTGATCTCTCTTTCTTTTCCCCACAAGGCAGGGCACAAGGCTGTCTTGGTCCCTGCTGTGTCCCCAGCATCATATAAGTACTGAGTGCAGTTTAACCAACTATTCAAGTTGCCACAAGCAGGATACAATGGCATTATAAATGGGGATGAGGCTGGGCGCAGTGGCTCATGCTTATAATTCCAGCACTTTGAGAGGCTGAGGCGGGTGGATCACCTGAGGTCGGGAGTTC